TGCCATAAAGCAGCAATGCATTATAATGTGTTCCAATGCACTGCAATGCAGGGTGACCAGATCCCGGTTTCTGGAGACAATCCTCAAATGTAGGGGGCTTCTCCTGGGGCAAAAATCCCTGGTTAAAAGAATGTGTCCCTGATTTCTTTCCAGCTTTAATAATGACATCTCAGGATTGGGTGGCTGCAGGGTAAATCATCTTAGGAACATTTCTGTGATTGGCCTGGAACAGGAGGAGGGAGAGGAGGGTGTTTCTGTTCCCTGTTGTGTCCATGGTTATTGAAGTCACATGGCAATTTTACATGGTCTTCCCAATCCTTCCCTTCTCGGCTTGTGCAGACTTTGTTGTGGGAGGTAACAATATGAGGATTGCCCTTGCTTGTGATGTTGACTTGCAATACAGGCTTGGTCCCGCACTCTTGACCCAGAGCCAGGGGCGGACTGACAACTCATGGGGCCCCTGGGCAATAGGGGATCATGGGGCCCCTGTGTCCTTGCCCAAAACTCAAAAAAGCCTATGAAAAAAGGTACCAGGGGCATCTCATGGGGCCCCGTACTGACCCCGGGCCCTCGGGCAGTGCCCTAGTTTCCAAATGGTCAGTCCGCCCCTGCCCAGAGCAAATGATTCATGGCTGGGATCTGCTGATCAGCTGTGCCCAAACACAACCAAGAGCTCTGTGCTGAAAACCAACACAGGGCTCTGCACAGAAGGAACAATCTGTTTCTTCTCCCTGCCTTGCAGGAACAAAGAGATTTTTTTTTTTGTCAAAAGTAACACATAATACATACATTAACAGCTGGATCCCTCTAGCAGTGCCCTGTCACTTCTGACAAGGAATCTATCTTCACCTGGTCTTCTTTGGGGTTCGCTGGCTGCGGCTGCTTGATTAGCCAAGCCACAATGACGTCACTCCCAAGCATGCGCGTGGGAGTCACTGTTGACGGCACAGGGCTCTGAAGGAATGGCATGGGTGATGTCACAGGTAAATATCTCGTAAACTGTGCACGTTTAGGAGATATTTACGGTACCTACAGGTACGACTTATTATAGATATAAACCAAAAAAGAGAGTTTCCTTCCACTTTAACCCCTTAATTACCCAAGATGTTACCATTAACAGACCGTTTCATTGTATTATTGTCACTGGTGGTGTTGTGGCAGTTAGTTCCCCCCCAGTGTCAGTTACTGTCAGATTTCCTGCCACACTATCACAGTCTCACTATAAGTCGCTGATCACCTCCATTAGTAGTATAAAAGAATGCAAAAAATGTTCCAGTGTATATATACCATAGTTTGTAGACACAATACATTTCATGCAAACAAATCAATATGCACCTATTAGGATTTTTTTTTTTTTTTTTACCAAAGACATGTAACAGAATAAATTTTGGCCTAAATGTATGAAGAACATTTTTTTTGCTATGTTTTGTAGCAGAAAGTAAAAAAAATTTTTTTTTTTCAAAATTTTCGGTCTTTTTTTCATTCATATAATAAAAAACATAAAACCCAGTGGTGATCAAACACCACCAAAAGAACAAATGTTACAAATTTAGTTTGCGTACAGCGTTCTATAACTGTGTAATTACCAATTAAAGTAGCTCAGTCCTGAATAGTAAAATGGCCTGGTCAGAAAGAGGGTCTCGGCTTCTGGAGCTGAAGTGGTTAAACCAGACCCCTTACGTCCCTCCACCATAGAAGTGAGCTTGGTCAGTAGAGTGTCCCCTGATTTCATTTTGAAAATCTGGTCACCTTACTTTAGTGTAGCGGTTCTCAAACTTTTTAAACAGGGGGCCAGTTCACGGGCCTTCATACTGTTGGGGGGCCGGACTATAATTTCAAAAAAAGATGAACAAATTCCTATGCACACTGCACATATCTTGTTTGTAGTACAAAACACACTACAATATTTAAAATGCACTGTACACTATAATGCACTGGACACCGCAGTGCACTGTACCGCACTGTACTCGAATACACTGGACACCGCAATGCACTGTACCTGGTGCCCGGTGCACTCTCCTCCTCTGCTGTTGCTCCTCTGACTGCAGCAGGTGAAATCCAGGGCTGCCAGGCTGCGGCTCGCTGGGTCCTCACGGCCGAGGACCCAGCGAGCAGCCTAGATATTTGCCGGATGGCACTTTTTTTTTTCTTTCCCTTCTGAAATTTTTTTTTTCAGCTGGATTAATATCTTTTGCCGTAGTTTGAGGACCCCTGCTTTAGTGCATTGGGGTGCCATTCCAACACAGTGTGATCCCATACATTAGGTCAACGTTATTGCAAGTGAAGGCACAAAGCTGGCCTAAATCCATCATCAGATGAACTTCACGACATATTTCTTGACCCTGTATAAATCAAGGGTACAAAATGGACAGGAGTACCCCGTGACAGAAATGACAGTTGAGTAAGTTGAGTATGAATTGGCAATAGAATTCTCTTCCTAGTGACATCAGCGGGAATGTACAACTTTCATGACAAGAAGCATGATCCACTGCGGTTCAGACATCGAAGATTCTGCTTACTGGCGTAATTCGAAGGGAGCATTGTCAATTTCATTGTAACGCTTGGCGCATATCAAATATCCCCGCGAAGCATAACATGACTGGTGAAGCAATAAATAATCGCGCTGCTTTCTAAGTCATTTAAGAGCCACAAAACAGTCATTAGCACTAAATTATTTGACTCCGCGCCTCGGGGCGCTATGAAATGTTTCATTAATTACTAGAACACAGCTTTAGTTGTAACCGGAACTTAGTCTGCGATGAGGCTCACGGTATCTTAATCAGTATGATGCTAAATCTACAGTTCAGGTCCAATTAGTAAAATGGTTAGTGAGTTTTTCTCTGCCTCTATACACTGTACGGCTGATACTCCATTTGCAGTTTGTGTTGCTTTCTTGTGACATGGGCACCCCTGCCAAAAAGTACAGTGTGTGTGTGTATGTATATGTATGTGTGTGTATATATATATATATATATATATATATACACATATTTATATATATATATATATACACATATTTATATGTGTTTGTGTGTGTATATATTAGTATTATTATACAGGATTTATATCGCACCAACAGTTTGCTCAGCGCTTTACAATATAACGGGAGACAATACAGCAACAATACAGTTCAATACAAGAGGGTTAGGAGGGCCCTGATCCTGGGAGCTTACACTATGAGAGAGAGGGGCTAGTGGTAAAAAGGGTAGTAACTGTGGGGGATGGACTTGTAGGAATAGATGATTCCATTATTAGCTGAGGGCAGGATAGGCTTCCCTGAAGAGATAGTTTTCAGAGATCGCCTAAAAGTGAGCAGAGTAGGCGAAAGTCTGATGAATTGGGGTAGAGAGTTCCAGAGGTTGGGGGACGCTCTGGAGAAGTCCTGGAGATGAGCATGGGAGGAGGAGACAAGGGAGATAGAGAGCAGAAAGTTGTGCGAGGAGCGGAGAGTACGGTTTGGGTGATATTTGGATATATATATACACACACTATATTGCCAAAAGTATTGGGACACCCCTCCAAATCATCGCCTAGGCATGCAGACTGCTTCTACAAACTTTTATAAAAGAATGGGTCACTCGCAGGAGCTCAGTGACTCCAAGCGTGGTCCCATGATAGGTTCATGTGCATGTAAAGGTAGGCAGGCCAATACTTTTGGCAATACAGTATGTTGTATATGTATGTATTTTGAGGAAAATATAGAAAATTTAAAAAAATAAGTTATTAATTTAAAAAAACTGATAATAGCACTAGATAAGGCTAGGTTCACATCTGTGGGGGTGGTGCAGCTGCGGGACCTGCACAAATACTGGCAACCGCAACCACCCATACAGAGAAATGCAGGACCTGCAGGTGCCCATTAGGATTAATGGCACACCACCCACACTGGAAATCGCACCCCTATTGAGAACCTCTGTTCCTGTCATGTTTCACATGACTGTCATATGCCTTAAAGTGTTCTCTATATTTTGCCTCTGCTCCTCCCTTTCCTCTGGATTAGTTAATGCTGTATAGATAGCCCCACCCCTTTTCCCAGAAATGCATTGCAGCTTCAAGCCTCCTGTCATGAAGCAGATCACATTATGATCTTTTGACCTATCCGATGTTCATTGTTGGTAGATTCTCACAGTTTATGGAATAAACTTCACAAGATCTACAAGATGTCTTCTGAATTGTGTCACTGCCTGTGTCACTCAACTAAAATTGGAGTTATCGCTATCTCATCACAACTGTAAGTTACAGAGATCACACTTTCAATGCTTAGATTGGAGAGACAGAACAGTTCCCGTATGGGCTGCAATTTCAAAATAGTGCAGGGACTTCTTTCCTGCATGGCACGGCAGCCCATTCATACGAATGGGCTTTCGTACCTGTGCAAACTGTGTCTTGCATGGCCACACAGGTGTTAACCTAGCCTAAAAAGAGAAGGTATTTACAGTGCTTATTAGGTCTCAGTCACATGGGCATACCTATTCGTACACCCGTGCAAAGACCGCACACACCTGTGCAGCCAGTTCCATTCATGTCTATTGGGTCGCACCAGCAGCCCACTGCTTTCATCGGGGCTTGAAAGGAATATTGAGGCAGGGAGCTGTGATTCTTTCAGGAAGCTATGTACAGCCCCTCCCACCAATAATGATCTCCCTGCATTGCGTAGGGAAGTGATGACTTCACCGGGTCAAAACATAAGGTTTCATCGTGTTGATGATGGGGAGTGTAGAACCAGGGAAGGCAGAATATAAGCTAATTAAACTTCAGCTTTAAATGAGTTTTTTTTCTAACAAAGGGTTTCTCCAGAGGTTGCCAGGGGTTCCTTGAGCAATGAGAAATGTTTGCCTCTCAGATAAGTTTCCACTGATACCACTGGTCTTTTTAGCGATCTGTAAGGAGCACATTCTTCCCACTGACCACCAATGTAAGGAGCATTCTTCCCACTGACCACCAATGTAAGGAGCATTCTTCCCACTGATCACCAATGTAAGGGGCATTCTTCCCACTGATCGCCAATGTAAGTCGCATTCTTCCCACTGACCTCCAATGTAAGGCGCATTCTTCCCACTGATCTCCAATGTAAGGAGCATTCTTCCCACTGACCACCAATGTAAGGGACATTCTTCCCACTGATCACCAATGTAAGGGACATTCTTCCCACTGACCACCAATGTAAGGAGCATTCTTACCACTGATCGCCAATATAAGGAACATTCTTCCCACTGATCACCAATGTAAGGGGCATTCTTCCCACTGACCACCAATGTAAGGAACATTCTTCCCACTGAACACCAATGTAAGTGTAGCACTACCCCCTTAGGAATCACTGAGTTTTGGGTCCTCCTATAGTCCTGCACAGTCAGGCACACACACATTTACTCATTCAAACTTGCATTAGCAGACAGTAACCAGTCTTTGAGCTTGTTTTTTTAAGTTTTATTAGGGGAATTGAAGTTGGATGGGGTAAGGGGTGTATGGGATGTCCAAGGGAATGGCAATGGGAGGGGGGGGGGGGGGGTTGCAGGTCTACTCACTTAATCCTCCTGTGCTGCTTATGGGTTTTTGGCTCACTTTGGGGGCCGGTGAAGTCTTGAGCTTTCCTCCCTCAAAGGTACTTTACCTGTAGGTGAGCCCCGCTCTATCTGGGCCTGCTCCTGCTCTCCAGCTTCACTTCCTCATCTTCCACCTGAGCTTTCCTCCTCTGCAGAGCAGGCTCAGTTACTCTTGAGGGCTGTCCTAGCCCCTTGCCAAGCCTCCTGTTGGGAATTGGCCAGGATCTCCAAGAGTACAGACTATTCACTCCTTCCGCCCACTGCTTCTAGATCTTTCTCTAAAGTTCTATTGCAGGGGGAAGTCTCACAGAGCTGGTCTGCAGGGCTTCTCAGCTCCTGACATAAATTTGACCCACTTGGCTATCACACCAAGGCTGCTACTCGGCCCTCCTTGCTGAGAATTGAAACTAGAGCTCCCCCTAGCTAACAAGGAGGGTGCTACATAAGGAACATTCTTCCCACTGACCACCAATGTAAGGAGCATTCCCCCCACTGACCATCACACTAATGTATTATGAGTTGTAGATGCAGTCATTTTTAGCAGGGGTTCCCTGAGATTGGAAAGTTACTTCAAGGGTTCCTCTAGGGCAGAGGGAGGCAACTTGAGAGCCGCAGGACTACAAGTTCCATCATGCCTCTGCAAGTCATAGCTGTAATTGTCGGTTTTGTAATCTTTGCAATGCCTCATGGGAAATGTAGTTCCACAACAGCTAAAGAGCCACAGGTTGCCTACCCCTGCTCTAGGGCATGGGTGTCAAACTGGTGGCCCTGCAGCTGTTGTGAAACTACAAGTCCCATCATGCACCTGGCTTTGGGAGTCATGCTTGTGTCGCGCTATTTGTACACTCTTTGCGGCTACTGGGGTATGATGGCGCCACCTGTATTGTATTTAGGAGCAGAATCTCTATAATCTGTGTGATCAGGACAAGATCTCTAACAAGCGCTAGTGCCTCCACTCCATTGGGGCTTGTGGATAACAAGTGAAATCCCAACTGAGAAATGTATCATCCACATAGACAGTAATCCACACAGCATTGTATATGAAAGTCCATGTATTGAAGAAATAACATTCAGTGAACCATCCAACATAAAGTATCTTCTAAACAGGAACATTAAAGCATTAACATTCTTTTTTGCGTGTCTCAGTGATGGGAGGCTGCAACACTTACAGTCTGAGCTCTCTCTCTCAGGAAATCCACACTTCCTTCTTTTTTTTTCACAAGTGCTCTCTCTGATGACCTCACCCTCAGTGCCCAGAGAGCATAGCAGCCATATTGGAAAAGGGCAAAACAAACACTGTATAATAGAAGTATACAGTACACTGGAAAATGGGCAAAGAAATGATCACATCACTACACTTGTAACTTTCAATCTTGCAATGCCTCGTGGTACTTGTAGTTTGGCAACAGCTGGAGGGCCACCAGTTTGACACCCGTGATCTAGGGTGTTGAACAGGTTGAGAAAGGCAAAGACAAAACTCTTCAGACTTTCCAGAATGCACTTCCTCTGGTAATGTTGCTGTGAACTGTACTGTGCATGACTAGATACCTCCATACGCCTGCTCTCTATCAGGCATTGTTTATTGGTACACACGTGGACTCGGAGTACAGAGCTCCCACGCCAACCAGCAAAATAGAGGAACAGGACGAGAGAATATTTATGAACTCCAGAGAAAGATACCTGAAATGAGCAGACACATTTCTGTGAGCAGAGACGGCTGTATGGAAGGCATCGCCTGTCATCTTTTGTTATGGTTGGACAGTTTCTTATTAAATTTTCCCAGTTGCCATGGAAACTGCAGGCGCCTATAGATGTGTACGAATGGCATGCGAAGACGTCAGGGTTGCCAACTTTACGGACAGTTTGTAAAAATCAGTGATTTTTTTACACCTGTCTGTAAATATCAGGGGCTGGTAATTTATCACGCTTTGTTAACTTTTTTGTAAGTGTAGTGCAGGCCATAGACGGGGAGAAAACCGGCCTTTTTTTTAATAGAAAAACGAAAAATCAGTCGTTCAATCAGCCGACGTTACCACCATTGGTAAAAAAAAGTCGGCTGATTTTCGTCCCGTCTACAGCCGGCAATTATATAGAATATGCAGAAGAGGAAGAAATAGAATATGCAGAAGAAGAGGCAGAAATAGAATATGAATAATAATAAGAATAAGTTGCAACATTGTATCTATTTGTATCCATTTCAGATACAGATGTTTCTATTCAGATACAATGTTGCTATACGTTTAAATGTCAAATATAATATCGGACTGAAATTCTTTTTTTTTTTTCTCTTCATGTTCTATTTCTTCTATTTCTTCTTCTTATTCATATTCTATTTCTTCTATTTCATCTTCTTTGTTATTTTCTATTTCTTCTTTTTATTCATATTCTATTTCTTCTTCTCATCCATATTCTCTTTTTTTTTTCCTTTTCTTCTTTTCCTTCTTCTTTCATGTCACTGCTCATGCGCATTTTTTAAAATCGGAAAAAGATCAGCAGATTTGTCCATCATTGCCACGAAAATCGGTAGAACGTCAAATTTGGCCGATTATTTTCCAGCAGGGCCGTTAATCCAAAAGGTCAAAAAATCACTAAAAACGGCCGACTGAGTACCGCACTATCCGAAAATCGTCCGATTTTTTTTTTTTTTTTTTCCGGACGTTTTTCATCCCATCTATGGCCCGCATAAGGCTCAGTTCACACTGCTGCGACTTGGCATCCGACTTGTGAGACCACAAGTCGCATAGTCCTATATTGTAAGCTCCCAGGAGCAGGGCCCTCCTAACCCTCTTGTATTAAATCATATGCTTGCTGTATTATCTCCCGTTATATTGTAAAGTGCTGAGAAAACTGACACTATACAAATCCTGTATAATAATAATAATGTGAGACCCCACGTCGCATGACACGTGAGGCCCCACGTCGCATGACACGTGAGGCCCCACGTCGCATGACACGTGAGGCCCCACGTCGCATGACACGTGAGGCCCCACGTCGCATGACACGTGAGAACCCAAGATGCATGACACGTGAGGCCCCAAGTCGCATGACACGTGAGAACCCAAGATGCATGACACGTGAGGCCCCAAGTCTCATGACATGTGAAATCGCATGTTAGTCAATGAGAGCCATCTTAATTGGCACTACTGAAATCAACAAAGTGCCTTTTTATCTCCGGTTTACTGTTCAGGCTGATTTGTAAATTTATACATTTGTATTTAGTTTTTTTTTTTTCTTATGCTACAGTATATATACTATATACACAATGATGCAGTTAATTATTGATGTGATTTAAATAAACAGATGCCCACATTACTGTATCACTGTGAAAAATAGTATCATCAAAAACCTCTCTCATTAATACTTGTTTTGCCATCACCAGGTCAGGTCACCTGCTAAAAAAAACTTGCCGAAGCCATATAAATACATACCGTATAAAGTATAAAAAGACATGTTAAAGGCAAACAGGGAAATATCATTATAAATAAAAATGCTCCAACTTTAGAAAAGGTTCCTGTACTACTTCAAGGCGACTTCTATCCGACTTCCCATAGATGTTTTAATGGAAGTCGCCTCCAAGTTGGGTCCTCATCTATATTGATGTGATTTGGATCTGATATTACAGGAATATTACCCAGCATTCCCTGAAAGTCGCTTCAAAATAGTACTCAAGTCGCCAAAAAGCCGCCTGGCGAAGTCGCACTGTAAGTTCTGCGACTTTCAGGTCGCAGTGGTGTGCACCGAGACTAAACCAGCAAATGACTTGTTATAGGTATTGTCAATGTTCCATATTGTGTTTATGCTGTTCCAATATTGATTTGTCTTCCTTTTTTAATGTCATTTCTCAGGTTGTCAGTAAAAAAATGTGCTCCGCCATGTTTTGTCCGTAAAAAAAAAAAATGCTGTGGGAGGTTGGCAACACTGGTAGACATTCTGTGTAAAAATGAAAAAACTTCTCGTAGGGTTCCATGGACACTTCAAGAGCCTGAACAAGCATTAGCATTTCAGATAATAAAAAAAATAACCCAGCCTGATTTAGGGCTCATTTGCACCAGATGCGATCCAACGCATATTTAACCCTTTAAATACGTCCTGCGGCAGTAGTCCTGCTATAGGGCTGTCGGGAAGCTGCTATGGCAGGTAAATCCGTTCACCTCCAGGTATTTCCGCTGTATATTTTATCTGGAGATTATCTGATGTATATAAAATGAATGGAATGAGCATGAAGTTTTTTCCAAAAAAGATGATCAAGAAATACAATCGGGACAGTCCACGGGTACATCACGTGTCCCACACACTACTTAGACTAGATCCACAGCCAGGTGACAACAATTCGCCTCCAGCGTTGCATTCAAAACTACGCCAGCCTTGCAGTACACCTTGTAGCGGTAAATGTTAAATTGCGCACAGAAACGAATGACAAACACAAGCTTGTTCTGCTGTTTTCCAGGCCTGTTATGTCTGTGTCACTGCGTGTTGTTTGTTTGTGTGTAGTTGTCGCCTTTTTTTCCTGTTCATACCACACTCATGTCATCCGCCTGACATCAGAGAAATCTGCTCTCTCCGTGCGATTTTTTTTTTTTTTTTTTTCCCCTGACCTTTGTCGCAGTTAGCTTCTCATTAAATGTAATCTACATGAAACTATTCCATTTACATAAACATAGGACATGGCTCACCTGCAAAACGCATCTCGTCTCACCCATTTACAGCATGCAAGGACGCCATGCATTGGCTTTTTTTTTTTTTTTTAGGAGTTTTCCTTTAAAGCTGATGTTTAATCTGATTATATTTTGCCTTCCCTGGTTCCTCCCCTCCACCCTTCATCAACATGCTAATAACATTTTGAAATACAACCTTCCTGCTCCTGTAATGTCATCACTGGGTCTCTGCGCTTCTCTATACAATATAGACAGGTTATAGTTGGTGGGAGGGGCTGGCAGGATACTTTACATAGAAAACATCACAGCACCTTGGCTTGGTACTCCCTTTTTATTTATGTATTTATTTTACAATGCAACACAAACACAAAAAAGTGCACTTAGGGGTGTGCTTTAGTCCACCCCCCGAAGGGGTAGGACCTCTACCCTGATCCCCCGGGGTGCAAGGCTCCTGACAGCGACAAAGGTTTCCACATGGTCCACCTAGCCAAAAGGCCTGGAGGACCCCTTTCCTTCTGGCTAGCCAAAGCCGACCACCAAGCAGGGGCGTCCCAAGGTAAGGGAAGGGGGTGCGGCCTGCGGTGACACTTACCACATAGGGTGACACCGGACCCGCTCCACGAAAAGGTAAGTTGTAAAGCAAGCCAACGATCCCCGCAGGATGGATGGGATCTGCGGATTGGGGAGCATAATGGTCTCGGAGTCTGATCCATTATGCTCAATCCGCAGATCCGATCCATCCTGCAGGGATCGTCAGCATGCAACCTATACGGGGTGACACCGGACCCGCTCCACGAAAAGGTAAGTTGTAAAGAAAGCCGACGATCCCCGCAGGATGGATCGGATCTGCGAATTGG